TCTCATTGGTTAGAGATAGGTGGGAAGAGTAAACAGAACAGAACGCTGGGAGGAAGAGGAAGTGAGCTCAGACTCCACAGCTCTCCTCTCGGGAGCAGACGCCTCAGAGAGACGCCATGCTCTCAGCTCCCAGGCGGACGCACGCAATGAAGCTCCGACCCAGGATGGACATAGGCTAGAATCCTCCCGGTAAGCTCACCTAGCTGTGCTACATAGAATATTAGAAATGGGCTAGTCCAGGTGCGAGAGTTAGCCTAGAAGAGGCTAGATAGAAATGGGCCAAGCAGTGATTAAAAGAATACAGTGTCCGTGTAATTATTTCAGGGCATAAGCTAGCCGAGCCAGGCGTCTGGGGTGCCAGGGACGCAGCCCCATTTGTGTGTTGTTATTTCGGGTAAAGCTAGCCGTGGGGGCGGCCGGATGCCGGGGATGCAGCCCCGCTGCCTCTTATTACTACAGATTGGCGCCCAGACGTGTGGACAACTGAATCCACTGAAAGCCTGAGAAAGCTTGGGAAAGAGAAGAGCATGTTTTCTTGGTAGCTGCAATTTAATAGAGGCTTCCTGACTCAGCTTTATCTGCAAAACCCTGCAGCTCATTAAGAGGTCCTGCCACGAAACACTTAAATGGTGTTGACGAAAAGCTGAACGCATGCTTTTCGGTTTTCAGCCGTAGCAGGAAAAAAGCTGCACCATTTAAAAATGCCAGCTTTCTGGGCTGTCCTGCCAGGGCAAACTCTGACTCTTTTACACAGGCGGTTCATGTGGTTTGCAAGCACAGGCCGCTGAAGCTCGCTTGCTGGCAGGGACCTTGAAGTGCCATAGAGTTGTGGCAGTAAACATAGGTACAGCCAGTACCTCAGCCATGAGGCTGAAAAGCTAAGGAATGGGCTACATCTAGCCGGCAAAGCCACGCCTTTAATTCTACTGATATTGCTTGGTAAATTAAAGACTCATGTGGTCAGAAAAGGAGAGATATACAGTAAAGAGAGATTCAAAGACAAAGAAAATTTTTAAATGGTTTACAGTGTGTTAAAAATATATGTAGACTAAAAGTTGAAGTTCTTAAAGTAAAAAACAAAAAAAAAAGGAAGAGAGTTGTTGTGTGTGGTAGTACACACCGTTAATCCCAACACTTGGAAGGCAGAGGGAGATTGACCTCTGTGACTTCAAGGTGTGGTAGCACACGCCTTTAATCCCAGTGCCTAGAAGGCAGAGACAAACAGATCTCTGTGAGTTCAAGGTGTAGTAGTGTACACCTTTAATCCCGAATGCCTGGGAGGCAGAGACAGGCAGATCTCTGAGACAGCCTGGTCCACAGAGTTATTCCAGGTCAAAGATATACAGAGAATATAAAATAGAAGTAAAAAGAAACGAGAAAGAGGTTAAAACAAAGCTGTACAAAGATGGAAAATAAACAGAGAATTTTGATACTGTATGCTATTATGCTCTCTGAATTATTTGAATGCTGAGGAAAGAGCAACAGCTGCTAAAAGATATTTATTTATAAATGCTGCTGAACTAATCCAACATAGATATTTTGATACCTTGACTTTGAAATTTGGGTCTAAGGATATGATGCTTTGGAGAGGGTCTTCTTTTGTTTTCACAGAGGACCAGACCCTGTGGATTGTGTCTATCCTGATATGGTATGATAGACCACGACCTCCCGAAAAGTTCCTGTGAACATCCTCAAAAATTACTTCACTCAACTGCCAACTGAGATAAACCTGGCACACAGGTTACACCCTAAATGATCTGATTAACGACGCCCCCATTCAGCAGGAAGCAGTTTGGAGAGAAATAACTACGCCCATATTCCCAAAAAATGTTTATAAATGTTCTTTTACATTTAAAGGGGGATATGATATAGGTATGAATAATTTGCATTAGTATAGATTTTGCTTTATTGATAGAGATTTACGGTCAATTTTGTTATATGTATATGTATTTCTGATATTGATTAAGGTATTGTGATTGTGTAGTTCATTATTAAAATGTAATATATAATTAGGAATATAGGTTGTTGATGGATAATCATAAATAATAGTCAAGTTTGTAGTCATGTTAGTTAATATTTTCTAGATGTGCGTAGATATATTTTAGATAGGCATTCTTCATATTTTTCAAAGATTATAGAATATGGCATTTTAAATGTTTTAATAACTTAGGACTTTTCATAACAATGAGACACTCTGCTCCTGGCAGCACCAATCTACTTCAAGAGGAAGATGGGCATCGAAGAGGCACCTTATGGAGTTTGATAGCCATTTGGGCAAGAAACTGCTCTTGCCTGGACTATTGCATAAACTGGACACAGAGAACCCGCAGAGAGAGGACTACTGAACTTGCCTAAAGGTGAGATGATCTTTCGGGGTTCCTGATTCATGGAAGAGTCTGCAAGACATCCTTCAGGACAAGCAGATAGTGACTGCCTTTGAAATTTCCTGCTTTATGGAAATGTCTGCTGGATACCATGGGCCTGAAGGCTGAAGATGAATGCCCCAACGGTACAGAGGAACTTTGGGTGGCTGTCCAGGCAGCGAGATGTCTCTGTCATTTCTAGAGTTTTAAAAGTTGCTTTTTTCTTGTTTGCTTAGGTAGTATTGTATCTTTCTGGAGTCTTTGATGGAGTTAAGAATAGTTAGTTATAGTTATAGTTTTCCTTAGTTATGATAAAGATTATCCGTGTAATTATTTTGGGTAAAGCTAGCCGTGGGGGCGGCCGGGTGCCGGGGACGCAGCCCTGCCGCTCCTCTTATTACTACACTGACCAGCTCCTCCAGTCACTGCTTTCTCTGACTCAGATGCTAGGCCTTCGCCTTTTTAAGGAGGAATTGCCAAGTCAGTGTATGTCAGTCCTGCTCCTGCTTATTTGACAATGAAGTTTTGGATTTAGGAGAATGTGGCATTTAGAACCCAAAATACAAATATCTTGCTGTGATTCTAATAATCATTTCTATATTAAAAACTTCACACAGCGTTACACCTGCTGCCAGTCCAAGGCCATACACAGAAAAGGGAAGGTTAGAGCCTACATCCATACCCAACACAACTCCAGACGTGGCAGCAGACTGTAGTCCATTGCATTATGATGTCTATGTCAGTCTAATCAAATATCATGAATGGATTATTTTCAAATAGCAGTGGACATGTAATTGTGAATTCCTAAAAGTAGATTTTTCACAGTTTAGGCTCTTGTTAGTTTGTTGTATTAAGGCTATTGTTTTAACAAATGACATAAAACTGAATGAAAATATCAGACTGGGTTATGTGATGAAACTGTAATGTTTTGCTTACAGTAAGTTAGGATATAAATGCTAATTCACACTGTGTTTATCAGTAAACTCCTTATAACTTCTAAAGACCCATCTTATATCAGATATGTACTGATAAATGTGATAACATTGTGTAAGGTGCCATGACACATGCTACTTAAGATAGATAAAATTTGCTTTGTATAGCTTCTCAGAGAGCCAAGAACACAAATAATTACAATTTTGAAAGTGCATTACGAGATAAGGCCAGAATTTAGAACATTTAGGGGGGTATATAATAAAGTTGGCATTTGAATTCATTTTAAAAGGTAGGTTGAATTTAGCAATCTCAGAGGTGACTGGAGAGTTTAAAATGAAGTTGGGTGTAATGCTGTATGTTGTACGTAGCACTTAGGAGATTGAAGCAAGTTCATAACCAGCCTGGGCTACATAGTGAGACCCTGTCTCACCACCCAGCCGTGACCAATAGAAGTATTAGAATGAAACAGGAAAAAAAAAGATAAAATATGGTTGTTAGCAGAAGGTAGTCTTCAAAATTCTAATTATATACTTTAAGGTTATATGTTCGATCTTAAAGGGCCTAATCTAATATATAATTTTATATGTTAATCAGTAGCATGAAACAGAATATTGTGCCATAATCAGAGTGACTTTTTAGAAATAGTAACTGTGTGTGTTGGTTCTATGGGAAATGAAAATTGGGGTTAAGTTGTAGGGAGGGAATGATAGAGAAAATTGAAATATAAGATAATAAGAATTAAAGTACAGCAACTGTGTCAGGTTTGGGTGTGAAAGCGTAATAGATCTATGATAAGAACACCAAAAAATGTATGTCATCAGTGGAACTTGCTGACCATTTATATGTGAGAACCAGGGGAGAGGAATGAGCTAACAATAACTCCATTTTTTCATTAGTATGTTTGTGAATGATGAGACCTCAATAGATACAGGGAAATAAGAAACTCTTATTTAGGAGATTAGATTAGATATATGGGTGGGTGGATGGATGGATGGATGGATGGATGGATGGAGCATGCAATTAAAGGTTCTGACAGATACAAAGAAAGCTATTTGAAATATCTGCAGAGCAGGAGAGGAACTTAAAACGTTTTGAAGAGTCATAATTGGAGCATGACAGTGATTCTGACCACTTAATTTATGGGTGAAAGGAAACCATCTCACTCCTCTCCTAGTATAGATGTAGGAATAAGAATCTATTACTCATAATAGGAAATTCCAGAAAGCATGTGAGGCAGTGGCTAGCGCTACAGCAGAGAGCGTTTCAAGACAGCTTAGGTCTGGAGATGATGCAGTAGTTCAGAGCACCGGCTGCTCTTGCAGAAAACCTGAGTTAAGGTCTCAGCATCAACATGGGCCATCTGTAACTCCAGTTAGGGGATCCAGTGCCTTCCTCTGGCCCCCATAGCCACAACACACATTGCCGCATATACACAGGAACAAACACATAAAACAAAAATATACATCTTTAAAATTTAAAATATAAATGCATATCTTTTAATCATATCAATTATAAGGAACAACAGGAAAGGTGAAGCTTAAGAGAGAAATCTCCCTATACATTAATTTTCTTTTACCTAATCAAACAACTCGAAAGTAGAACCTGAATTTTGTCATGAAGCAAAAGTTTGAGGGTAGTGAAACAGGACTTTCCGTTCTCAAGGTTAGCACCTGATGCATAACTTCTGTATTTTAATGTTGACAGCTTCTTCCCTGTGATTCTCTAGAAGCAGATGAAGTGGGAAAACTTAAACAAGAGAGAGATGCTGCTCGGGAGGAACTGCATGCGCTTAAGGTGAGCACGTCCTCGGCTTCCTTACATTTCCTTGTAAAAAGACGTCATCCTATATTGGATTCTGAAGTATTGCTGCTTATTTTGTGTTTAATCACAGTATGTTCATTTCAAACAGGACCAAGTCATTTGTTTAATTGTCTTCAGAGAGCAGAGCCATCCTTTAGTTCCCCTCTCACTTTTCCTTACTTTGTGATAGCGCATAAGATCCGATGTGCACAGCAGGTTTTCCTCTCATGTCTGACCCGGTTCCTCTTCTTCCTTCTCTTCTCTCACATTGGTGGCAACAGCAGGTATAGCTGAGGAGCCAGCTAAGCAAGCTGTGACAATTTTGAATCCTCTGATGTTTGTCGGAAATACATTTTTTTTTCCAGGTGCAGGGCCATGTCTGTGGGACGATGTGTTTTGCTAATGCAATTTGAAACTGTGTTTCAGGAGAGAACACATCACATATACCCCAAACGCACAATAACATTGTGATTTGCTCTCTATAGTAGCGTGCTGTTCTTAATGGAATATTGGGTTTAAGTTAAATTCTGACTTTCACAGGAAGTCATTGTATATTCCAAGAGAAGCAACATAATTACACTATGATCACTTTACCATAATAATATGTATTTTAAAATTATTCTGTTAGGCGAAGTTCTCTAGTTATTTACTTTAGTTTCATTTGGTATAAATTCTTGTTCAAAAGAGAAATACCCTTTTCTTTCCACTGTTGTTTTATAATGCAGTCTTTAGAGGAAACCAGCATTAAAATTTTTAGCATGTCCTCTCAGAGAGTTTCTGAAGACAGGCCAGCCAAATCACATTTTTAAAAATAAGCATATATGTGTAGGGGTCGGAGACACGTGGGAACTTCTGTGCCATCCTCTAGCTTTAACTATAACCCTAAAACTGCTGCCCAAAGTGAATTCTTTAAACAGTTATAAAGAAGCGTATATGTGTTAGATCATGCATAGATTAGGTCTTATAGAGCCTCTTTATTACTGCTCAGCTTCTTTTTCTCCCGTACTTTGAGATGAATCATGGCAGCTTCTAACACAGCTCTCCCATGTCTTCCATGGTAGGGATCCCATACACCAGCAGCTTCTCCTACAGGGCTTTTAGCCAGTTCTCTGTTAATGGATATTTAGGTTATCTCCAGTTCTCCATTATCAAAATTAACTCCAGGGACTGGAGAGATGGCTCAGCTGTTATGAGAACTTTCTCCTAGTCCAGAGGACCCGAGTTATGTTCCCAGCATCCACATCAGCTGGCTTGCAGCTTATATAACTCCAGCTCCAGGGATCCACCACCATCTTCTGGTCTCCAAGGCCACCCACATATATTTGACATACACACAATAGATACTGTAAACTAAGACTTTGCTTTGGTTTTCTGACCATCAAGACCTGAATAATCACACAAAAGCTATATTAATTACTACACTATTTAGACTATTAGTTCAGGCTTCTTATTAACTAACTCTTACATCTTAAATGGACCCATTTCTATTATTTTATATTTTACCAGGAGGTTTGTGGTTTGTTACCTCTTGCTTCTTGAATGGCTACATGACGTCTCTCTGACTCCACCTTCTTTCTTCTCTATCTCTGCTTGGATTTTCCATCTTGCTATGTTCTGCCCTGCAATAGGCCAAAGCAGCTTCTTTATTAACCAATGGTAATAAAACGTATTCACAGCATACATAGGGGAATCCCACATCATCTCCTGTTTCCTGTCTAAATAAAAAGGAAGGTTTTAACTTTAACATACTAAAATTATATATAACAAAACAGTTATCAAGCAAGAATTGCAATTACAATATTTAGTCTATTTGTATCTGGCAAAATTAAAGAAAAAATTCTATCATCTATTTTATCTTTGTGAGCATAAGGTTTCATATCTAATTTATCTTTTATTATAACTAAGGAAAACTGTAACTGTCTTCAACTACCTTAAAGACCCCAGAAGGATATAATATTACCTAGGTAAATAGGAAGTGCATTGTATGCAACTTCCCAAATTCTAGAATTGATAGAGACATCTTGCTGCCTTTACAGTCACCCAAAGTTCTTTGGTAACATTGGAGCATCTGTCTTCAGCCTATAAGCCCATAATACGTGACAGACATTTCAGTGTAGCAGGAAATTTGAAAGCCTGTTTTGCCTGTATTGGCAGTTTGTTAGTCATTTTCTTCTGCATCCTTCAGAACGTCTGGTAGTTTCTCTGGTGGAGCAGGAACCCTGAAGAACTGTCTCACCTTCTTTTGGCAAGTTCGGCAGTTGTTTTTCAGTGGGTTCTGCATCTCTAATCCATCAAGCCATCCAGGCAAGAGCAGTTTTTTGCCCAGTGGCTAGGCTTGTCACATTGAAGGCAAATTCCATAATGAGTTTCTTCATCCCCATCAACCTCTTGAAGTAATTGTTGCTTCCAGAAGCAGACCTGACTCACAGTTTTAAAAGTCTAAGTTCTTTAAGCATTTTACATGCCATTTTCTGTAGGTCTTTGAAGTGTTGAAGTTTATCTAACTGAAATATATTTCTGTATATCTAGAAAACCTAACTAATATTATTCAGTTTTTATTATTTTAGATGACTATTAATCTGCATTTCTTAACTATACATTACACTTTTAAATGAGCTGCACAAACACTACTTTAAACAAGAACAGAAATACATATGTCCAGTGTAACAAAATCAACCTTAAATTTGTTTCAGTAGACCAGGATCCATACCAATGTAAAGTATTCATCTCTATATCATATCCCCCTTATTTTTTTTAGAAATTGTCTGTGACCATTAATCATTTATAACCCTTTTGAGATGAAAATAAATGTTTTTAAGCAATCATTTTTTGAATTTGGGTGAAATAGTTTTAGGGTTCATGGAGCTCTTTCAGGAGGTTTTGTTCTATCAAACTATATTAGCCTGGAAGGAATCCACAGGTTCCCATCTTCTATGGAAACAAAAGCAGAACCCGTTTTCCAAAGCAACATATCCTTAGACTCAAATTTTAAGGTGAAGATATCTTTATGTTATCTTAGCAGCCCCCACAATCAAACAATCAAATGTCTCCCTGTAGTTAGCTCATTAATAGTTAAAACTTCAAAGAAAACACGATAATTTACGTAATCTAGACTCTGTATATTTTCTACCTTTACGTGGCTTTTTAAATACTACTTTTACTGTCTCTTTAAAGTCTTTGTTTTGTTTTTTAAAGCTATCTTTCTATAATTGTCTATACCCACTTCTTTCTTAAGCCTACATACATTTTCAAACACGTTGTGACCCATCTAGAGGTTTATTCTGTCTGAATCTGTCTTTATTGCTCATCTGTTAATTCTTTTCTGATCACTGCTTTAAACCGTTAAGCTGGTGTGGCTAGGACCAGAGTGGCCACTTTGCCTGTTGAGTCTACCCAGCTTGGCTTTCTAAAATGGCAGAGGCCCATTTACTTCCTCCTCTGGGAGCTATGTTTATTGCCCCACCTCAGGGAAACAGTTGGCTGATGCTACCACCAAGTAACATGCAGCGCGCTGCCCACAAATCCCATTCAAATGCTCCCTGGCAGGACCTCCCAAAAGAGCCAGAGACATTGTTGCCACCACCATGAACCAGGAAGCTGTCTCTTAAAGGAGCTATGCAGTTTTTGCTGCTAACACTAAGGCGGGAAGCCTTCTCTTATAGGAGCTGCCAGTAAACAGAGCCTATCTGAAAATATGCAGCTATCAAGAACTTCCAATTGACTCCCATTTCTGTGCGTCTAGAAACCCCCCCCTTAAAAAAAAACTTTCTTAGACTTTGTGTGAATGTACCTTGCCAAACATTGGGCACCACTAATATCTTTGTAGATGTGTGGGTGGGCAGTTGTGAAAGTTCACAGTAGACCTGTGAAAATGGAATTGCAATATTAAAGAATACCAATGTAAACCATTCTGTATATTTCTCCCAATTTTCTTTCATAAGGCTTTTGTAATTCTACTTTTTCCAAATATAAATGAGCTTCTCACAACTACGGTTATGTTTTATAACTCTAAAAGCACCACCTTTTCACAAGTTTGTGTATCTCAATGGAAATATAGAATTCATTTTTTAAATTATTAGTTTCTTCTTGCTCCCTTAGAACAGTCTTGTGGTGTTGGTCACACTGGTAAGACAGCATTGTCTCTGTGATTCATTGATAAACAAACAAAACCCACAGGTGTCACAGGTTTCAAAGGGTCTTGGATATTTTTCATTTCTCTAAATTTTATCACCATTAGATTTAATGACATATTTTGAGTTTTATTTTAATGTCAATATTAATTGCTAGAATTTTAATTTAAAACTGCAAGTTACACTCATGTAACATTTAAACAAGGGCCCATGAGGAGTCATTCAATCAAGATCACCTTTAAAGTTCATGAACTGTAATTGAACATATTTTAGTGTTGTAAAACCTGAAGTCCCAGAATAAAAAAGACTCTGCTCTCAATTTCCTCTACATTACGTCTTTTTTTCTGAGACCCAGTCTTTTCTAAAGTTTCTTAAGGTCTGGAGGGATGTCTCAGTTTTTAAGAATGCCTGTTGTTTATACAGAGAATCTGGGTTCTATTCCTGACACCCACATCATGATTCACAACCATCCATAACTCCAGTTCCAGGGGATCCAGTGCCCTCTTTTGACCTCTGTGGGCACCAAACAAACATCTAGTACACAGATATACATGCAGGCCCAACACTCATATGAATAAAATAAAATGAATAAATTTATTTTAAAACTTAAAGATTATATAAATAGTATATCAAACAATAAATATTTTGCTTGAGATAATGTTTGTATTTTCAGTTATTATAGCTGTTGCGCTACAGGTATCTACATGCACACATACACTGTGACACACACACGCGGACATGGACACGGACACACAGAGCTGCAGAGCTTGTTAAGTGAGGATCGTAGAGTAGAAATGCCCTGCTACTACCCATCATTGTCCTTCGACAGCTTTAGCCTCTGTGTCTCACTTGAGATGCAATAATCTCAGAGTACATACTTGATTTAATTTTAGGTTCAAAGATGACAATACTTACCATTATGTCATATTCAACTATATATTTCATATTGCAGCTATAATAGTAATATCCTTTTTGTGAGTTAATTGTTCGAAAATGGGCTAAAATTACATTAGGAAACCCAGTCTTTCTTTGGTATGATTAGAGCTTTTTTATGTCCAATTCAGAATAATAAGGCCCTTTGTCTGGTAGCTCTTTGGTAATGATAGCTGTCAACCAAAATTTAGTTCCTTTTCACCAATTTCAGTACTGACTGATTTCTTTTGAATCTCAGATTTTGATATCATATAACATTAAGGTAATAACGTTTTTACTACAATTATACATAGATGACTACTAGTGAATATTATCTGAAACCAGAAAAATAACCAGGAACTGCATTAGGAGATTTTATCAATTTGATGTTTAGGGAATAAACTTTGAAACAGAGGACTAGAAATCGTACTTCGTGTCAAAATGCCATGCTATTAATTCAGTGGTTTTTTAAACACAGGAGAAATTACTTGAATCAGAGAAACATAGGCAACAGCTAACGGAAGAGCTACAGACTGTGAAACAGGTAAGTCCTTGTGGGAGTAGGGTGTGAGTGGGATGGTGGGTACATGGAGGAGGTACATGAGCCTACCCAAGCTTTTAAAACAACAGTGCTTCCTCATATCTCAGGATTTGCTGCTGAGAACACCCAGAACTCTTAAGAATGAGCGTTTGGAGTTTATACCCACTAGAGTCCTGCTCTGGTACTCAAACAAGATTTTACAACTCCGCCAGGGCTTCCATGGACCATAACGACCAATCTTGTTGCTTTTCTGTTCTCTTTTCCTTTTGTTTTTGTTTTCTCTTTCTTTTGTTATTTGTACTTCAAGATTTTAGTAAAGACAAACCCAACAAGCCTCCTCTCCCAAACTGCACCAGAGAGCATTGTTACAGTTAGTTGTTGATAATAAATGATTAAGAATTTGTTTTCACTTTCTGTAGTCTTCACAAAATTGGAAGTAGATTAGAAGAAGACAAATAGTAGAAGCACAAACACTGGATACACTCTGAGCAAGAATTCAGGGTTAATAGAACCCTGTTAGAGATCAGGGGTGGTTGCTTGATTCAGAATCCCCCTCACGCTGCCTTCATAGAAAGCATTAACTTGGCCAAGAAAACAAACCTACCCACACTGACTCATATCCTTAATATGACAGTAACAGAAACCAGAATACGCCTCCAAAAGTACATCAAAGTAAGTCCTAAGGATGGCCTGCCACTGAACCAAGGCTGGCTACACCAGAGAAGGCATTAAGGACTCTGAAAGGAGTAGGGAGAAACAAGAATTGATGAAATAGAGGTGAAATCAGCCCCAGAAAGAAAAGGTGTCATAATTAATGTCCAAATCCTGAACATCAGTCAGGTCTTGATGGCTCTCGGCACCAGGATTCAGAAGAGTATGCACACAGAAGGAGCAGCCATTGAGAGCCATTGCTTCTGGGGAAGAATCAGGTGAATTAGAGTTAACAGAATATCTTGGACCAGTCAGTGATTGGGAAAGTGTTGGCAGAGACTGCTTGTTCATTTCCCAGCTGCCCTGACCCAAAATAATCACAGAAACTATATTAATTGCAATATTCTTTGGCCAATCACTTAAGAATATTGCTAGCTAGTGCTTATATCTTAAATTAACCCATTCCCATTATTTTACATTTTACCACAAGGCTCGTGGTTTACCAGTACGGGTACCAGCGCATGGGTGTCTTTCCCCTCTAGTCGCTACATGGCATCTCCCTGACTCCGCCTACTCTCTTCTCTTCTATCTGCTTGGAATTCCGCTTTGCCCTATTCTGCACTGCAATAGGTCCAACGCAGTTTCTTTATTAATCAATGGTATTCACAGCATACAGAGGGGAATCCCACATCAAGAAAGAAAACCCAAGAACAAAAGGAAAGGTCTTACAGAAAGAGAAGACATACCAATCCGCCCACTTCTCACCCTGAGACCATCAGTTATATAACCCATAATGCACCTACGCAGAAGAGGGTGCTGTCGACCTAAGACCTTTCTATAAAATTATTTCTAAAGCAGAAAAAAAAAATCTGAATCCTTACTAAACTGCAAAAGTTCACGTGACTTAAAGCTTCTGTGCTGTGAAATGCACAGAACAATTGCATAACAAAGTGGTAGACATTTATATTCGGGTGCGCTGGGAATATAACAAAGTGGTAGACATTTATATTCGGGTGCGCTGGGAACACGACAGGAAATTGTATGATTTCTTGAAGAAATCAGTCAGGAAAAGAAAATGCTAAAATTGAGAATTCTTCAGCCAAACTTTCCAGAATTAGAATTGTATATTTGAATGAACAGCCACTCAGAGGGCCCAGAACCTCCCACCCTCACCATGTGTACATTCCAGGAAGATGACAGATTTCAGGACCGAGAGGTAAGTTCAGTTACGCCTGGAGCAACGTCACGAAGTAAGAAAGTGCTAGAGTTGACAAAGCCAAACCATGAGGAGCTGCCTGACAAGGGCTTCTGTGCCCACATCTGGAAGAACCAGGACATGAGGCACTAGTCATGGTCGTAAATGATGCACCATGGAATGATAATAACTCCCAAGTCCGTACCATGTATAATTAGATTAGCTAATGGATGGGCAGAGAGGAGCACTCTGGCTCATGGTGATTGCGGCGTGCTGACTGGAAACAGCAGCACCACTGCTAGATTTGGAAAGAAGCATTTTGAATGTTTCAATAAGGATTGAATTAGGGGCAAATTAAGATGCTAAATTTAGGAGGAAATTTTAATGAACAAGATATCTACATAGTTATGTGGTTTAAAAGTAACTCTCCAAACCACTGCTAATTATAAGGGAGAAATAGTAATTATGCAGTGGAAAATTGAGAAAACAGTTTGATGCTAAAAGTTGTCCTCACCAAAGAAGTCATTTTCACTCCAAATGTGATATCCCGAAAAGGACACAGTGTCACCTGTGTGCTATTCTGACTGAGCGCATCGCCTAGGTCTAAACTTGGGGCACACCTGGGAAGGTGCGTGTATGTGTGTCGTATTCTTCAGAACCCTCCCTCCCAACCTGATACAAAAGCTGCACATTAAGAGGAGTTAAGAGACAGGAAATCTAAATAAATAGCTGCTCCAAGGCTGGATCCTATACTGGAGTGGGGGGAATAAGAAGGACATTACTGGGTGCGGTGACAATCTGGACTGTAGAAGATCGATCAGATTCATGAAAGAGCTAAACAGAACCTGGAACTCTTAAATGGACTAGAGTTACCTATCTTTATTAGGAATTCTGTTGTGCTTAAGGATAAACGGCTATGATATATAAAATTTACTACACATGGTTAAAAAAACTATATGCATGCATATATGTTACATACACATACATACACATGCTGAATATAGAGGAGACTGAAAACATCCAATATTCTTGCAACAGCTTTTATATATCCATGCTTTATAAGTACCTTGTATCTCATTCAGGAACATATTGGCTAAAGGCTAAATCTAGTATGTTTGGTAAATCTGGGTGGAGGATATAGGAACATTCTTATTATTATCCTTTCTTTTTCTTTAAATTTTATTTATTTTATGTATGTGCGTGTTGGCTCGCATGTACATATTGTACCACATGTGTACCTGTTTTCGGAGGCCAGAAGAAGCTGTGGATTCCATAGATCTGAATTATGGATGGCTGTGAGGCACCATGTGGGTGATGGAAACCAAACCTAGGTCCTCTGCAAGAGCAGCAAATGTTCTTAACCACTGAGCCATCTCTTCAGCCCCTCCTAATGCTATTCCTTATACTTATGAAAAAAACTTAAGACCTATGTAGTTCAGGCATGTTTTCAGCCTTCCTCTGTAGCCTGATCCAGCCTCAAACTAATGACAATTCTTCTGCCTCAGCATCCAAAATACTAGAATTGCAGTTCAACTTTTTTTGTTTTAGATTTTAATTAAAGTATGTGAGGCGGTGCACATGTGCATGCCTGTGTGCACATGCATGTATGGTGCCTGAGTGCATATGGAGGTTGTCAGGCCTGGCCATGGACATCCTTACCCTCTGGGCCACTTAACTGGCCCCTTTAAGCTTTTTTCCTTTTGTGTTTTCAGTACCTGTATCTTCAGTATGCTTTAGATTTCAGTGTTTCTTTGTGTTCTGAAAGTGGGATTTATGAATCTTCCTATTTAAGTTTTATGTATAAAGTAAATTGAGGGATGTTCTCACTATGTTTAATTAAAGCTTTCTGCTTTTCTAAATTCTTGGGGTATATTAGTTGTTAAATACCAAGTATTTTTGATGTAATCATTACATTAAGACTGACAAATCCAAGAAAGAAAAGAAGGGAGAAAGGAAAGAAAGAACCAACAGTTGTACTGTCTTTTCCAGCAATGCCTACCCTTTCCACATGAGGCCTTCCTGTATTTATTTTTCTGAAATGATTATTTTTCCATTATACAAAAAATGCAGATGTTTATCAATAAGTCATCTGTATCAAAACGGGAATGAGATAGAGATGAAAGTGTGCCAAGTCAAGATTCCTACTCTCCTGTGATGATGGTAAATGTGCAGAAGTGTAAGTGTGGAAGATAAGAGCCCACTGGATGAGTGTCAATTTTAGACCCCCATCCTTTCTCCATGTTAGCTGACCTCCATCAGGCTACTTTGCCTTCCTAGACCTGCATTTGATAATAGGATTCTTCCCAAGAATTTCATCAGAATTGAGTGAGTGTAAATCTACACAGTCCGCTGTGTATCACCTACAGTAAGCACTCAGTGCTAACATGACTGTTAGAAATAACAGAAGTATTAAAAGATGAATGCAATTTGTTTTAGCCTTTTAATTTAGAGGGAAAATAAAATTCTAGCTGAGGGATTAGAGAACTTCTCATAGATGGGGTAGGGTATCAACTGGGCTTATAAGAGTGTGAACATTGTTTCCTGGCAGGGAGAAGCGTGTCTGTAGGGCCAGAGGCCATTTGTATATTTAATTTTCACCGTGTTTATGTCTTTGTGTCTGATTGCGTGATAATGACGTCATCTTGTAACTGATCCCAAGAGCTTTTGACTTGACATGTGTTCATTTTTGTCAGCTGATCCTAGGCAAACAGCAGTGAAGTATTCTTCTAGCATCAACACCATAATCAGTCAATAGAAGCATGGAGATACAGAGAGCAGGAAGTGACGTTTAAGTTAAAATTTTGAGTCCGAATCGTGCAGGCAGTTGAATATTTATGTACAAGTTCAACCATCACCTGCCCCCAATGGTGTTTGACAAATGAGAAGAAGGGGCATTTCACTCCACCCGTAATCTGATTACATTCTTTCTTACTTGCATCCAACTTGTTGACCCTACAGAATTTGGGGTCAGCTGAATTTCTTTTAACTGAATGTTTATAATTACAGTATTTACCACTCTCTACCACTGCCCTCTCTGGTCCAAGCTCATCTTCCTGATATTGTCAGCTTCCTTCCTGATATTGCTCTACCCCTGAATAATCTAGATTGAACACTTAACTATAAATATCCCTTTAAAAACTTAACAGAAGGGTCTGGA